CTGGTTCATAACAATTTTTCAGAAACGTTCGCTATTCGGTCTGGCGTTCGACAAGACTGTATCCTGTCGCCCATCCCATTCAATTATGCAATTGACTGGATTCTTGGGAAGGTCCTATATGAAAAGGACGACGTTGAGTTCGCACCCGGACGCCGGTTGACTGATCTCGACCACGCTGATGATCTACAGCTGTTAATTTACAGTCTATGGCAGCAAGGGTGAAGGAGGCCACTAAATCGTTCTGGTTTGTCCATAAACGCTGGAAAAACCAAAAGCTCTTCATGCTGAATCCCTGTCCAAGAGAAAGCATCTCTCGAGATAAGTGGCTATCAATTTGAAGAAGTACACAGTTTCAAATACCTTGGAGCGAATATGCTGCCGAATGGACAGAGTAGGGACGACATTGTCTCCCGAATCGATGCAAATCGCAGTCATTTTAAGCCTTAGAAAATGCCCATAGATCTGACAAGACATTTATATTGCCACGAAGTTTCGCATGTACCATGCATCGGTTCGGTCTGCCTTTCTACACGGCTGTGAATGCAGGACTATGCGCGTGGACGATGAAAGAAAACTGGAACTATTTGACTACTATTTCTTGAAGTGAGAATTTTGCAGTCCAAGCTAATCGGTACGATTAGAAAATCAGAAGGACATATTTTCTGGAACAGCTTAAATTATAGGGAGACCCGACCCTAGCCACTATGCTCTTCAGGCACAGCCCAAAATAAAAAGAGGAGTTGGACGCCAGTTGAGAGAATATTTTATAGTACAGAAGGATTGAAGGGAAAGGGGGTTGGCAGCTAGACGAGTGTGTACGTTCAGCGCCGCGAGAGACGGCGCCTCGGATGCGATCACAACGCCTTGACTAAGAGCATGCCTGATTTGGTCTTGAAATTGATTGGTCCGTTTAAAGAGCTCCTACTTTAACGACTAGCCAAATGAATATTGAAAAATTACACGGAAATGCTAAATACTTTCTAAAATGAACCTCGAGCAGAGATTAGTACGGTGAGAGTAGAATTCATACACTCTCCTTAAAGAAACATCCGGACCCGTGTTATTTTGTACTACAAGTTCCAACTGACAGCAAGTACCCAGGTATGCGCCCTCTTATGGTTCTAGGTGACAAACATACGTAAAGCCGTGAAATCGACCATTTTAAAAACGTCTTTTAGACCAGTTGTTACCAACTGAACATAGTTCGTCGCCTTTGTGATATCATCGTAGTTAATAAGGATTAGATGCCAACTACCGCCTTAGGCGGGTTGGGAAATTAGCTGTATCCTTATTGAAGATCTGAATTGAGAAAAAGCAGACGCAAGCTGTGGGTCAGGAAGTTTATTCTCCTGACATTTTACGCTCGAACCCATCATCAGAGACAACGCCAGATATGGCTACTTTGAAAACACTAGAAAATGTCGCCTATCGATGCTCTCCATGCAGAGGCTTTTGTCCTGCCGTTCGCCTCTCACAAAACACTCTTAGACCAGCAGTTCTGGTGGACTTGTTCGCAACCCGGTCATCCTAGTCACCATCTTTGCCACGCTCTTGAGCCCATCCGCAACGTTCAGCAGTCTATTTGAGCTCTCCACAAGGAA